TCTTGGATTTAATATGGTTGTTAAAATTTCTATTAATATATATACATTAGACAGTCACACTATCACGTACGCTCTTCATATACAAATATTTTCGATCTATTCACATGTTTGTATAACTCATTCGTATATATGTTCACTAACTGTGAACATATATATGTAAGATGAGAAAATTAATTGAATGTGATATACGTAAGAAGTATGGATAAGTCGTATCAAATGATTGATGATGAAAAAGAAATTATGAGTAGAGAAATAACATATTCAATGTTAGAAGAATACTATAATGTACCAAAGTATAAACCCGACTAACCCGTACAGTTTTGGTTAGGTTGGGTTACACTTTGGTTTGAGTTGGGTTGAGTTAAGATTTTTCAAACTACAAGCATTAGGGTGGGTTGTTCAAATGTAGGGGTGACAATGGGTTAGGTTGAGTTCGGATTCAATCCATTTATTAAACATGTTGAAAATCTCAATCCAACCCATTTAATTAAATGGGTTGAGATTTTTCAACCCAACCCAACATGTTACTTAAATGGGTTGACATCGGATTGACATGTTTACAATTTTCTTAACATAACCTGTTAAATAAATGAGTTGAACCTGGGTGGACCCATTTAATTTAAAAAAAAAAAAAAAAGACTAGACTATTTAGTTTAAAAAAAAAACACAATACAACCACAAATACAAACAAATTGTTCAAAATAAATTGATTTTTTTTTAAATTTTAAGTAACTCGACTTCCACTTTCACCAATTTAAAAGTTGAGAGGCGATAATGGAGTAATGGAGTAATGGACTAAAGGTTTTCTTAGGGTTTCATGATGATTAAGAGTAACGGAGCCGATTGGAATTTGAACTTTCATCTCATGACGGTAGGATTTTTAATTAACAATAAAACAAAAATTAAAAATTAGAATACTAGATATAATATTAAGAATAAAATAAAATTATATAATATTTTAAATGTATTGGAAACAGGTTGAAAACAACTTGAAAATAAGTCGAAAAATTCAACCCAACCGAACTCATTTATTTAAATGAGTTAGGCGGGTTAATCCATTTATTTAAATGGGTTGAAAGTCTCAACCCAACCTGCTAATTTTGGGTTGGGTTGGGGTTGGGTTAGCGAGTTGAGTCATTTTTTGCCACCCCTATTCAAATGTCTTCAACTTGATTAACTCAACTTATGAGCACCCCTAGTAACCACCATTGGCTACCAATAGCCACTGTCGGCCACCTCCACCTCTTCTTCCACTACAATAAACTCCTCCACCATCGTCGACCATCGACCACTACCGTCCATCGCCACCACCACAACCACCATCGCCCACCGACCACCACTCTCCATCGTCACCACCAGTACCACCGTTGGCCACCTCCACCACCTCCACACTTTGTGTCGTCCACTGACCACTACCTTTTATTGCTACCGCTACCACCACCGTGGGCCACCTCACCTCCACAATAACCACCAACACCATTGGTTACCACTATCACTGCCCACCACCACTATCAGCTACCACTACCACTGCCCACTATAATCACTACCTCTATTACATCGGCCACAACTACCTCCTCCACCATTGTCGACTGCCACCACCACCACTATCCACCATCTTCACGTCCTTCACCAACCACCACCAGGGTTGGTCCTAAGATTTTTAATGCCCTGTGCGAAGATAATAAAAAATGCCCCTAATCCTATTTTTTTAAGCCAATGAAACAACGAAACATGTGATTTTTTAAAGAGTTTAACCTATTCAAATAAGTATCCCATCCCCATGTTGATTTTTATTAATTATAATAAAAAATACAATTGGAGGACATAAAAACCAAAACCCCGAATACAAAAAAGGATAAATAATGGATTAAGATCGTGTTTTTCCTTTTTTTCAGTTTTCCCTTTTCCAAATTAAAATTAGTAAAATAGAAACTTTATTTTAATATATGAGACCTAAAAGACAAGGTTCACTATAATTAGTTTTTAACTAAAAGAGTAAATTACAATCAAATTACTGTCATAGTGAACAAAACGTAAAACTCAAAAATTACAAGTCTAATGACTAAAGGYTAAGGGTCTATCTGTTAGCAACTTAATAAGTTTAATGGAACTAACAACTTATTTGGTCAACTATGTATGACTATTTTGTAGTGGCTTAATGATATAGAAAATAACTTATCSAGTAAACTTCTAGGGGGGAGCTTTATATAGAAAGCCAATTCTTTTTTCCAAACATGTATCTTCCAAGTAAAAAAAAATGCTCCTTACATATGCGAAAAAACTCTCCTAAACAAAAACTTTTCCAACTTATTACAGATTAATTCAAACAGACAACTTTATTCATGCTGACAACTTTATACAAACAAAAACTTTTCCAACTTTCCAACTTTTTCCAACGATGTGCATTCAGTATTCATCACTACTAGGCATCGGACCTGTTTTTATAATTAAAGCTCAGTTGTCCAATTCACAAATTATTAAACCCAAAACTAGTAATATATGATAACTTGATGCCCTTTTGTGCTTTGATACCCTGTGCGACCGCACGGGCTGCACGTGGCCAGGGCCGGCCCTGACCACCACTGCTCTACCTACGCAAGCCTATTGCTACCAGCACTAGTACCGTCGTCCACCACCATTGTTGGCTACCACTACCTCCACCACATCAGCCACAACTACCTCCTTCACCACTGTCGACCGCCACCACCACCATTATTTACATCTTCACGTCCTCCACAACCACCATCATCCACCAATCACGAATGCCTCTACATCCACAACCATTGTTGTTGCAACAATCTTCATCATGCTTTCGACAATTGATAAGGATCTTCCAAGCCAATTAAAATATAATTTCTCATTTGTACAAATCCGGTTTTTTCAAACTACTATCAATATATCAAAATTTTCATTCAAATTTAATACTATTATATATGTATATGAAAAATGTGTAAAATGTTTAAAAATTAAATTATTAAATTATTTATTTTATTTGTGTTAATTATAACTATTATACGATATATAAAATCATCAAATAACTGTTGGGGGCAACTTGTCTAGTTCTATCTCGTCCAGTCCTAGTCATACCAAACACCAGTGACTAACCAGACACTTGTTCTATCCAGTCTTGTCCCGTCCGGTTCTGTCTAGTCCAACCCTCTTGTACTGTTCAGTCATAACTAGTCTAGTCTAATCATGTATGCGCATCAAACGTTAGTTTTTCTAAAAATAAGTGTTTATTTTCAAAAACAATTATTTCATTTCTCATTCTACCTTTAATCATCAGATGGTGAAAATTTCTCTCTCTATTTTTAAAGATAAACTTGTCATTTCCATTTTATTTCCTGACCTGTAAATGTCAATTATGATCTGATTTCATTAATGTAACAATGATATTTTTTAAATACCAACTCGAAAAAAATACCGTCATTATTACTTTTAAATATTTGTAAAACTTGTAATATCTTTTTAGTGAGTTACTTAAGTTATACAAATCTTACAATCCTTTTAAAATGCAACGATGAAGATTTATTTTACTCTGATAAATCTTAAAAAAAGTAACGGATTTATGATCGACGTTTACAAGTCACCAGCTATGAAGTTATATACTTAAATATTTAATAAGTCAAATATTAAATACGAAAATAATTGTTTTAAAACTACTTATAAATAAAAACTTGAAAATAGTAGGTTTCATTTCAAACACAATTTAACCTATAATAAATTATGTGTCCAGAAAGTAGCAAAAATGTACCAACATAATCAAACAAAAGTTGTACATGTTTATCTTGTTCATACTAAATTATAAATTTGGTCCCTAATTTATTGAAAAATAGCATTTTTTTGTCCTTATAATTTTGAAATTATAAAATGTCCATCATGGTTGGTAAAAATGTTTGGACTTCGTTAAAAATTTCTATTAAATAGGAAGAGTATTTCATCATTTTATTGATTTTTTTTTTGTCTTTTTTTTTTCTATCAAAACTGATTTTATGATATTGGTCATTATGGTTTTTGATTGAGTAAAAGATAAAAAATCGATAAAAAGATGAAAATGCCCTTAGTTCCGTTAAGTTTTTAATGACGGAAATGACAAATCCAGACGTTTTGATAAACCATGATGACCATCTTAAGGGTTGTTTGACAATTGCTGAATGATTTGGTACAGAATGATTAAGAGACTCTCATGATATAGTGCAAAATGAAATATAATTGTTTGGTAATTGTGTACAATGAAATTAAGGCTCTTAATGGTTAAGAAAGATCCAAGATACAAAATCATTCAGATGGTTTTAGAACCATTAAGAGCCAGATTTTTTTTATCAAACAAGATTCACAACTTAACGATTCAGAGGTACGGGATTGTTTGTTTACCTCTTAATAGTTTCATTAAGAGGCAACCTCTGAATCATTAAGAGGCGAATCTTGTTTGACAAAAAAAAAGTCTGTCTCTTAATGGTTCTAAAACCTTCTGAATGATTTTGTATCCTGGATCTCCCTTAACCATTAAGAGCCCTAATTTCATTGTACACAATTAGCAAACAATTATATTTCATTTTGCACTATATCATGAGAGTCTCTTAATCATTATGACCACTTAATCATTTTGTACCAAATCATTCAGCAATTACCAAACAGCCCCGTAATCTTTTAATGAAACTATTAAAAAGTAAACAAACAACCCCTTATAATATCAAAACCACAAGAAACAAACCAGAAGAACCGAATTTGTAGTGTACTCTTTTGTTTATCAATTTCTTTTCTAGGATTTGTGTGGTTTGTAGTTAAAAAAAAGAGTAAAATGGAAGCTTGTGTTAAAAGTTTAGGGGGGGTTCAAAATACAAGATAACCGGTTTCATATTAAAGATGTTGAGACAAACATGTCACCCACTACGATTTAAATATTGGATCCAACCCAGAATATGATTGTTCCCTTAAGATCTGAGGTGTTAATCGGTAAATCTGATTACCACTAATCTTGCATTGCACCTTAGTTTACTCGCATTTGTCCGTTGATGACTGTCGTCTGTACCCCTTTTCAAACTCCCTTTCCTCTTTCTTCAATCTCGAACCTTTTTCTTCATCTTTGTCTCCTCCCATGGCGGTTTATCCCTTGTTGCTTTCTTCTAACATTCGCATAACATAAGACTGATTCCAAAGCACCCATCTTTTTTTCATTTTCTGTCCGCCATTAACGCACAGAAGAAGAAAAAGAAGAAGCTCTTTCTTCTTTTCCGAGATGGGGTTGATGTATGGGACCAAACAAAGCCACAAGCTTAGCTCCGGCGCCGGCGCCGGCGTCTCCACCAGATGGGTTACCTTCTTCTGCATTGTTAGTTTTTGTTTTGGTGTCATCTTCATTAACAGGTACATGCTACTACTGCCTTCTTTTTGATCTTCTTTTCTCCTCGATTGCAGATTTGGGGTTGGTTCTTGTTTTCTTACAATCTTGAATTTTGCTGTAATTTTCTTGATGTTTGAATTTTTAAAGGGTTGTTGGCTATTTTTATTATACATCTTGGTTTTTTTCATTAACCTAGATATCCAACCCGAGCCGATTAATCCCCGGGCGACCACCTGCTTTGCAGATACCAGATAACCCGGAGTATCACATTTGAACCTCCGTAGCCACAAGAGGATTTTTATTCTCCTTGGATTTGAACCTGTTACCTCTATTACTTTTGACATTTGGAGTTAAGCTCAAACCAATCAGGCACCACCCTTGTGGTTAGATTGGAAAAATGGGTGTGGTTTGTGTTTTGTTGAAAGAATGTTTCATCTAATTTATTGGTTCTAGGTCTCTTTCTGGGAAAGCTTATTATGGTCAGTCAATGGAATTATGTGATTTGATGTTAGCTGAACTATTTTATTCAGATTTGGGTTCTTTCCCAAACCTTGGATGGCTTTGTGTCTGAACCTATTCAGATTGTCAATGCAATTTGCAAGTCTATTGTTGGATAGTTGCTTTTCGGGTTCGGAATGTTAATATAGGTTGGTTCCCCCTTTGACTGCATGATACTGAGAATAGGGGATGCCGTGAAAATGTTGAATAATCCGTGCCGTCGTTGATCAGGCTAGTAAAGCAACCACAATGTAGGAATATGTGGAACCTTATTAGATTAACATCTGAAGGTTCCAACGTATACTGAGGAGAAACGGTCTGAGTCTAGCTAATGTGCGACTCCAACAGGGTCCTTTGGTTGAATGATACTCTGACAAATTCTTTTAGAATCTGTTACTTAGTTTCTAGAACAACTTTGCTTAATAGGTATGCTATATTTTCTCTTTCTTCTTCCAAATTTGGAGATTTCTCAATTATCTCTCCTTTTTTTTCTATTTTAGAGGAGAGTTTAACATAGCTGTTGGAGCGAACTTTTCCCAAATCTCCAAAATTTCTAAAATAGCAAAGATGTTGAAGATGCTCTTAATTGGTCATGGATTTAAAGAACGCTTGAGGTCATCTAGCTAAATAACCCGACTCCAACATGCCCCCTCCGTTGGAGGCTAGATGGGTGCAAATGTCTTAAGAGTGTTGAGAGAGGGATAGACGGGCACAAATTGTCCCCGAGTCTTGAGTCCCTAGAGTGGTAGACATTGGCTCTAAATCACTAATACCACCATTAGCATATGTGGAACCCCATTAGATTACTCTTCAAAAGATCCCTTTAAGGAGAGAAGGGAGATTCCAGAATACCTTGAGTAGAAATGGTCCAAGTCTAGCTGAAGTGGGATTCCAACACATAATGTAGTCGTGGGTGTTTAGCAACACCACTACCCTCCACCACATGACAGTCCAACGCTTAAAATTTCCAAATGAGGATGAAGCAAATGAATCAGGAACACCTTTGGTAAAATATAAGTCTGTTCCACCTTGTTCCACCCTGTTCCACTTTGTTCCACTCTGTTCCTGTCTGTTCCATATAAAATTCATGTCAAACATGAGACAGGGATCCCTGTCCTGTTCTGTCATGTCCCTGTCCAGTGTACCAAACGCATCCTAGGCTTCACAATAGGGACTGTGTTGGTAACGCCGGAGGCATTCCCCTGTTACAAAAGGCTAGTTAAGTTAAGAACCCCTAAAGATAACAGCCAGAAAACAATACTTTCTCCCATATAAAAGAAATTTCGAGTGCATATATTGAAATATATGTGTATTTCCGTTGTATTTATGCGGGTATTTTGTTGATTGTTTTGTTGTTCTAGGTTTGGCAGTCCAATTCGTATCAAAAGGGACGAGGTGTCTTCACCCTTGGAGAAACAACAAGAGCTACTTCAGCCCGTTATTGATTGCGAGAAAAAGGCAAGTAACCAATATGATTTCTTATGTTATCTTTGGTCTCAACTAGACCTCTAAGTCTCGTATTTTGGCTGTTGCAGGATGCATCTGTTGACGTTGGAGATATTTTCTCTCAAGTTTCACGTACACATGATGTGATCATGTAACTTTCCGCTTGCACGTGAACTTAAAGTTTCAAAACTCCTACTCCTTCCGTCCCAAAATAGATGTCCACGATAAAAAAAGGTCTACAGTTTTAGAAATGTGTGATTATTACACTTATAATTATCTAAAATGACAACTTTACCCTTAATAGCAGAGTGAGTAATGAATTTCTCCATCATAATTTGGGGTAGAATTGGAAGATGGACACTTATTTTTGAAAGTGGACACTTATTTTAGGCCAAACTAAAGTAGAAACGTGGACACTTATTTTTGGACGAAGAGAGTATTTTCCCATGTCATTTCTTTCACTTTTTTTTTATCAAGAAGCTACGACGATCAAGTGTTGGGGTCAACAATTTTTGGCAAACTTATGGTATAAAATTTTCAGGACTCTAGACAAAACAATCTCTTCTCTGGAAACGCAGCTTGCCTCAGCTAGATCTGCTAAGAAGCCTGTATCCGAAGAGTTAAATGAGCGCCAGAAGTTTTTCTTTGTCATGGGGATCATGACCGCCTTTAGCAGCCGAAAACGAAGAGAATCCATCAGAGAAACATGGATGCCGAAAGGTTACAATTTTTCTTGAATCTGGTGCTGTGTTCACTTTTAGCGCATGTTCTTTAGTTCAAAGTGACAGGTTTGGGAAAAAACCTGGCTTTCTGCATAAGCCACTTTCTATATCATCAAGCGACTACCAAACGGTTCATGTATAGCCGACTGAATAAGCTGCGAGTCCCATTAAGCTGCTAACAGACAGGCCCTTTCTTGTTTTTGTTCATTCAGGAAAGGATTTACTGAGGTTGGAGAAAGAGAAGGGGATTATCATTCGTTTTGTAATAGGACATAGGTGGGTTCATCTCAAATAAGATGCATCGGGTTTTTTTTCTCTTTCTACACGTTCTTAATAAGAAACTATATTGATGGGGATGGTTGGTGCTTCAGTGCAACACCGGACGGGCTTTTGGATCATGCCATTAATGTTGAAGATCGACAACATGAGGATTTTCTACGGCTGGTATTTTACAGATTTTGCTTCCTTTGATATGTTATCAATGCAGTATTTTACGTTGAATGCGTAATGGCCCTTGATGGCATATTTGAAGGGTTATTTAGGAGAATAATCTTCTGACAGATATTTTTTAAATGCATCACCTTCTGACAGATTTTCAGACATTCTTCTGTTAGGCAGAGGTAGAGATTGACATGGGCCGGTCCTTAAAAATCTGGTCTGGTCAACCGTTTGGTCAAACTGGTCAAAAAAGCCCGCTCTGGTCCGGACCAGTCTAGTCTGGCAGGGTAAGGACCGGTTTAGGACTGAAGGTCTGGATCAGTCTTGGTGTGACCTGGTCTTGGTCTGGTCTGATTGGCCTGATTTATATTTAAAATAAATTAATTTAATACATTTTTAATAACTATTACATGTAATTAATTATTAATTTTACAAATATTAATTTATTTGGTATTCGCTACTTCATAATTCATTTATTGCACTTTAAACTTCACATACGATGCTATTTATTTGTACAACTTTATAACTACCATTTATATTCGATACTGTTGACATTTTCTTGAACTCAGGACCACGTAGAGGGATATCACGAGTTGTCTTCTAAAACTCAAATCTACTTCTCAACGGCTGCTGCAAGGTGGGATGCTGATTTCTACATCAAAGTAGACGATGATGTTCATATCAATCTTGGTTAGCGGAAACTTGTAATTTATCTAATAAATAAGAACTCGAATAACACAATGGATGAAAAGCTTAAAAGTTTCGTCATTTTGCCTAGGCATGATCGGCTCTACCTTGCTCCGTCATCGCTCCAAGCCTCGTGTTTATATTGGTTGTATGAAATCAGGTCCCGTTCTTGCACAAAAGTAAGATTATGATCTTCCTGTTCTCTCTTTTCTCTTAAGATTTTGTATACAATGCTAAGGGGTTGTTTCGTGTTTGGTTGTATTTCCATTAAGCCCTGTATGGATTAAGTTGTCTATATGAATTAAGCTAGATTGATGTCTGTTTGTTGTGCTGAATAAAAATGACTATTTTACTCCCACCCTAATGTTGTTTTTCCATTAAGCCTTGTATGGATTAAGCTGTCTCTATGAATTAAACTAAAATAATAGTTTGTTTGTTGTGCTGAATAAACAGTCTGAATGACATAAATAACTATTTTACCCCCTCTAGCCTAATCTTGTTCTTTCAGTTAAGCCCTCTATGGATTAAGCCGTCTCTATGAATTAAGCTACATTGGTGTTTGTTTGTTGTGCTGAATAAACAGTCTGAATGACAGAAATGACTATTTTAACCCCTCAGCCTAATGTTGTTTTTCCATTTAAGTCTTGTATGGGTTAAGCCGTCTCTATGAACTAAGCTAAATTGATGTTTGTTTGTTTGTTGTGCTGAATAAATAGTCTGGATGACAGAAATTACTATTTTACCCCTCTAAACCGTCAATTTTGCCTTGTGTACTCTTTTAAAACCGCCCATTCTATACCCTTATAAAGCAAGTTAAATGCAGAGGGGTCAAGTACCATGAACCTGAATACTGGAAATTTGGAGAAGATGGAAACAAGTATTTCAGGCACGCAACCGGACAAATATACGCGATCTCTAAAGATTTGGCCACTTATATTTCAGTTAATCGGTTAGCATTTCTCGTCAACTTTTTGATACTTATTTTTCTTTCTAAATTTAGTTCTGAAACTGATCTAGTGTTTGCTTTCAGTCACATGCTTCACAAGTATGCAAATGAAGATGTTTCATTAGGTTCTTGGTTTATTGGTCTCGATGTTGAGCATATTGATGATCGTAGCCTCTGCTGCCAAACGCCCCCCGGTAAGGATTGCCCCCACCGCTTTTTTCAAACTTTCATAAAGATTATATATTCTAGAAGGGGTCGAATATATTGATATAATATCTGCAAATTGATTTAGAAGCACCGATAGGTAGTGCAGCACTGAGTTACAAAGTGGTGGTTCTTTTGGCTGGTGAGCTAGTGGAACTAGAAACAATTGGTTTTGAATAAATCACTTTCTGTATCATTAAGCCACTATCAAATGATCATGTATAGTTGATTGAATAAGATGTGAGTTCCATTAAGCTCATTAAGCTGCTAACAGACATACCCTTAGTCTAACTCTAACCTAGGATTTAGAGGGTCTAACTGCTGACTCTCTAACCCTACACCCATCCGTCTAGAGTGTAGCTAAACAAACCCCACCTCTAATCTGCTACTCTCGTCTTGTGTTTCCAAGAACTCCTATCAGAGGTCATGTCCTCGGAAATCCCTAAGACCACGACGTCTAACCTTAGCATAACTCCGAGAAATATATGTCATTAAAAAGTTGAAATTGAAGTGGAGCATCACGCCGTGATAGTAAGATAAGTCGATTAATCTTTGTATGGTTGTTTTAACTAACAAAACTATGATTGTGTTGGTATGGGAGGGAACCGGTGTTGCGGATATGCGGCTTCGATTTCACCAATTCAAGCCACAACAGTTGTCATCATTGAGTGGTTTTTAGTGTCCATTGCCATGATTACTTTTTCTTTTTGTCACTTTTATATAGTTTTAGTGAAATGAACTATTAATTAATCTTTGTATGTTTGTTTCACTAACGAAAAATATGATTACGAGTCCATTTTGTTTCTCTTGGTGCTCATGTCACACGTGTTAGAGTCCCACATCAGCTAAACTTGGAACATTCTCCTTAATATATGTCGGAACCTCCCTGCTTTCCTTAAAGGCTCTTTTGAAGAGTAATCTAATGGGGTTCCATATATTCTTATATGGTATCAGAGCCAAGGTCTACCACTTTAGGGACTCGACACTTTGGGGCAACTGTACTAGTCGTCCCCCCTCACCCATCTAGTCTCATTTGGAGGGGGCGTTGTAGATATATGTTGAAACCTTAGTTCTCTCCTTAAGGGCTCTTTTGAAAGAGGAATGTGTTGGGGTTCCACATATTCTCACATAGCACAAAAAACACAGGTTTTTATAGCAACATATGGGAGCTGCTGATGATTTGTTTATTTTGACCAATCTAGATTGCGAATGGAAAACACAAGCAGGGAACTCGTGTGCAGCTTCGTTCGATTGGAGTTGCAGTGGCATATGCAAATCGGTGGAGAGAATGAAGGAGGTGCACCAGCTGTGTGGGGAGGGTGATGAAGCCATCTGGCACACTAGTTTCTAGCTCAATCGATGTCCGTTTGATCGATCCGATGGTTTCCATGAACCACACCAGCCCGATTTTTGGCTACGATCTTCTCGGGCTGTTTCCAAATCATAAAACTGTTGATTTTGCACATATGAAGTCCGATTTGGAAAAGGGTAGGGTAGCTCATCATCATCATCATCATTGTAAATCTGAAACATTTCTCCAACTTCCACAAGTTGGGTTTGGGTTATATTTCAGATTAATTATTGGCAAAAGGGCGTTTCTTTTATCTACTTTTATTCATTATGAATATGATTACATCTGAAAGTGGGATCACTTTCATGATTTGAAAAAAAGTAGATTAGTTTTGGGTTTTTTGATCGAGTTCTTGAAAACGACGATGAGATGGTTGAAAGTTATGAACACCCATTTGCGGGCTCCTGCGAGATCTTTGAATCCTGCAAATTTGAATTTTAAACGTCAAAAACGTGCCTAACGAAGGGTTGGCTGGCCGGTGGACGGTGGTCGATGGCGTCCCGTCCCTAACTGGTCCATGTGATTGTGGACGTGGTTGAACCCGATGCCACCTCAACCTCTGTCTAAATCAGCATTCAAGAATTTGCTTCGTTTTTATGAGTAAAAAACAAACGTGTATCATGAAATCGATCATGTTGTGTTGAGATTTTCAACTCATTTAAATAAATGGGTTAACCCGCCTAACCTATTTAAATAAATAGGTTGGGTTGGATTGAATTTTTCGATCTGTTTTCAGCTTGTTTACGATCTGTTTCCAATCCATTTAAAATATTATATAATTATATTTTATTCTTTATATTATATCTAGTATTATAATTTTTTATTTTGTTTTATGTTTAATTAAAAATCTACTGTCACGAGATGAAAGTCGAAATTTCAATTGCCTCCGTTACTTTTAATCATCATGAAATCCTAAGAAAACCCTTTAGTTCATTACTCCATTATAGCCGCCAAAGTCCAATTCAACTCTTCAAGTCTGTTGTCCGCCTCTCGCCCTCTTGATCTCGGCTCTCTCTCCGTCCATCATTTGTCTAATTGTCTCGCTCTCGGATTCTCTCTTTTTTATTTAAAATGTTCAAATTAAATGGGTCAACCCATGTTCAACCAATTTATTTAACATGTTTGGTTAAAAAAATCGTAAACAAGTCAACCCGCTGTCAACCCATTTAGATAACATGTTGGGTTGAGTTGAAAAATCTCAACCCATTTAATTAAATAAGTTGGGTTCGATTGAGATTTTCAACATGTTTAATAAATAGGTTGAACCCAAACCCAACCCAATCTGAGCTATTGTCACCCCTAGTTTAGGGTTGTGTTTATATTATAATAATAAAATCGAAAACTAATTACTGTTTCCAATTTCAACGATTTTGCGGTCATGATTTTTGTTGTCCCACAATTTTTAACAATTAAAATTCGAATTTAAGCTTTGATTCATGTGAAGATAAAATTTTCGTCACATCATCATCTTAACCTGTGGCACAAGTGAAAATGGTTAATTGCAGTTCTTTTTGAAAGGGTGTTTCGAGCTATGCTCAGACTAATCTCGACAAATTATAACCGTAAGATATTAACCCTGATAAACTCAGTGACCGCAATTATTATTAATTATAATCGTCAAACATAATACAAAACACCAAGAATTTAGCTTCAAACTTCCAATTTCAACCATTTGTATTTAGAATTTTTGTGTTCCACGATTTTTAATCATTAAAACTCGAATTTAAGCTTTGATATATTACTGTAAATGGTAAAGGCGTCACATAGCTACTAGGTCAATGGTGAACATTTACATGTGACAAAGGCCTACAGAACCATACGAACCATATGACCATGCTAATGAGCCACACTGTCGTTGCCAAATCCATCAAAACTCTCACACGATCATGCCACTCATCCAGACATAATTGTCAAATAATAAAGGGCTTTTGCATAGATCGTTTAATGGGTGTATAAACTCCAGTGAAAGATTTAACACTATGCAGAGTGGTGAATAGAAGTGATCAAATTTTATAGAAAAATGTCCATCTTGTGCTACGAGACAAGTGTGTCAACTTTCCCTCATGAATTGAAAGTGAGGAGCCATTTATCCAACTCTAAGCGCTTATCAGTAAAAGACAACATTTTCACTTAACTTATTGGTAAGATTTTAGTCAATTAAAACGGCGTCGTATGCAATACTTTTGTCTGGTAAGCACTTATTGGGTTAGATTCGTCATTCTTACTTACCGGTTAAGACTGTTGGTCCTTGTCATAGCTCTTACAAGGTATATATCTCAATCCTTGTCATATTAATCTGATAAGGTAAATTGACTTGGTACATTTACCAGGTAAGCGTTTAGTAAACATCTCCTTAATATACGAACTACAAAAGTTAGAAATAAAATGACAATTAAAAAAGCAAAGATACATACAATAGAAAGTAAAGTGCTTGGATATAAATTAACTCATAGAAATAAAATCTAAGATCCATATCGGTTGGAGAGGAATGGAAATGTTGTCTTATACGTGACTAGATATTTCATCTAGACATCTACATACGTGTTTAAAACCTCGAGTCCACGTGTAGATAAAGCGGACAATATCCGGTAACGTTGGTCGTGGATGTTGCCATACGGTATCAGAGCGAGCGAGGATGCAAGGCTCCCTAAAAATTACCCGTTTGATTGAATACACTACCAAAAAACTCTGGTCATAACCGCCTTCAACACCAAATTCCCGCAAAGCGGAATCCATCATCCCATGAATCCTTCGTTGAAATCTCCGGAACCATGAAGAGATTTGTTGTAACAAACAAAAGAAGATAAACGAGGGACTTGCGATGAAGCTTCTCTTCCATGGAAAATGAGGATTTTTGTTTAATTTTTTATACTGAACTTGAAATCGGATGCTGGCTGAGTATTTTAGAATTGTGTAGTTCAATCACCTTATATGACGTTTTTTTATGGTTGAAGTGACATGGAAAATATTATTTTCGTTTGGGAGTACCAACAAACACAAAGACCTTTGATCTTCAATCTCCATGTTCATCTCGTTACGCCTATCAGAAAACCCCAGTTACAATAAAAAATTGGAAACAAAATCTATTCATCTAATCACGTCCATCTGAAATCCACAACCAATCTGGTCATTTCGTTCATCGTCCATCAATGTGACAACCCATGTCGCAACCGATGCGAGACTCATCTAGACCATCCAAGAACATGAAATCAAAGGGCACATTGTGTCAATTTAATTGCCCCCACGATATTTACTTGCCATAATTATCTCAAACTATTTCTTAGTATAATGGATTGCATCTTAGGGCATTTTCAACTGACGTGTTATTTTAGAAATTTTAAAAATTTGTCGAAAGTTTGCTTCAAACAACTATGTTAAATTCTACTATAAAATGCTACAAAAAATGAGAGAGGATGGACAAATATTCAAAATTGGAAAAGTAGAGATAGAATACAGCATTTCTGTTAGAGATGCTCTTATCTCAACCGAAACGATACACAATTTAATTTTGATTTACTTTATTATTCAACGACGTTTCATTCTAAACCTAAATCAAATCGTTTTGTGAGCTAATAAATATTATGTGATGTTCCATGTATGAAACATTAATATACACTTAAATCTTGAAACAATATGGTTTCAGAGACGGAACACAAATGGACTGGATCAATAATAGTGGAGGGGATCAAGAGAATTTTATACTTAAAACTTTAATAGACCGAAGATGCTTCACTCTATCGGGAAAAAAAAGCTCAGGGGTAATAATTACTCTTAATTATGGAAACGTAATAATAGAAATATTTAATATAGAAGATGGTAAATTAATTTTTTGTTAATATAAATTTTTTACCATTAATATATTTTATTATTTTATTAAATTATACTTATTAAAGTATGAATTGTAAAAGCATTACAATATGAAATTTGATTTCGTTTCATTGAAAAAATATATGTAGTTTGAGTAATGAAACGAATGTCATGGTCAATAGTGACCATGAATACAATTTCACTGATGAATTTAATTTATTAATATTTCGAAACGTTTTATGCATGAAAAAGTTTCACTTAAGAAAATAAAGTATTCAGTTTTCAAAATGTTTCATTCAATTTTCAAAAATGTTTCATTATTTATATGTTTCATCGTTTATTAGGATATCCCTTGTTTTAAATTAGTTTGATTAGAAATTACTAAGAGTCCAATCTCACTTCAATAACCGTTAATGAAATAGTTTCATATATCGTAACCATTACTGAAATAGTTTCATAATCATGAGTTCACAACATAAACGGTGAAACAGTTTCATTCATTCATTCATTTAATCAAACAAAATATTTTCTTTAGTATTCAAAAAGGTTTCATTATTTTTTGTTGATTAAAATATGTTTTTATGTTTCATAATTTGTTAGGATATACCTAGTTTCATTGCTCCTTACTTGGATCTATTTTTAATGTGGATGCTATTTAATTTTTAATATTTAGTCATAAAACGAAGATAATTTTTATCAAACATATAATTTGTCAGATTATTCTAACATTTTTGGTTAAAATATTTGTGATGATAAAATGATATATAGAGATTTTAAAACAATAATTTTGTTTCATTAATATTATGATATCCATGATCTTGTTACCTTGTTTATAAAACCATACAAAATAAATTTTTGACAATTTTACCCTTTTTTAATTAAAAATTAAATTTTTATTTTCTTTTTTATTTCCTAATGTAAACACATTTAATCTTGACCATTGATCAAGAAAATTGATGGATTAGATTGATTTGTAAGGTTTTCACAAATGAGGATGTCTTGCAATTGATCGTTCTTATATATATATATAAAATATAAGAGCATCTCCAACAGCTTATCTATAATTTCTATTAAATAGAAAATTAAAAATCAAAATCTCTAAAATAATTAAATCAACTCCAAAAACTTCTCTATTTTTAGATATTTTATCATAAGCTGTATTTTTTAATTATTCTATAGTTTTATGATCCCAATACATTTATTTAAATATATAAAATGATATTAACTCAATCTTCATTGGTGGGATGAATAAAAACTCATTTATCTCTCTTCTCTTTAGATTTCCAAATTTTTTTCTATATTTGGAGTTTTCTCTATGATTCTCTGTTTTAAAGAATGAAACAGAAAAACTCTTGGAATATTATAAAGAATAAAAACTTAATTTTCTCTATTAAAAAGAAGCTGTTGGAGCTGCTTTAAATAAGGTTAAGTTATAAAAAATACCCATTGTTTTTGTTGTTTTTAGTCAATATCACGTGTAGTAAATAATTGATATATTTACATGAAATAACCAAATTTTTGCTGTGAAATTTATGTGAAAGTTTTGTCGTATCTAATAAAAGTTTTTTTTAAGACCATCTTCAACCTAATCAATAATAATACATTAAGAATGATACGTTTATTGAACATTAAAAAATTCAACTCTAATTACACACTAAAAAACATATTTTAATAATAATTAAAGGTATTTAATTATTATATTATTTTTTAATTGATATAATATTTTATTGTTAATTTAAGAGTAAACTACAAATTTAGTCTCTTTGGTTTGTTGTAAATTACATTTTTCATCCTTATAGTTTTGAAATTATAAGATCACTTCTTGTGTTTACAAAAAAAGGTCCAGATTTGATCCCTCCCTTTAACGATCGTGAAACTATTCCGTCAAATGAGAGTAATTCTTGCTTTTTTGTCGACTTCTTTTTGTCTATGCAGTCAAAATCGATTATATAATTTTGGTATATGATGAAAGTATCTCTCGTTTAAATGAATTTTTTTAACGGTCGTTGAAAGAAGAGACAAAATCTGTATGTTTTTATAAAATATGATGATCATCTTGTAATTTCAAAACTGTAGAGACAAAAAAAACTAATTTTACAAACTACAAGGACCAAATTTGTAGTTTAGTCTTAGTTTAATAAGAGGTCATGGAAATATATTTGATTAAATTAAATGTGGTCCAAGTCTAAAAAGGGAATATGTTTAATATTGACTTTTCCTTTCTATTTATTTTTGTGGATGCAAAATTAATGTAGTCCAAAGTCTCCTTCTTCCGACCAATCCCCTCTAACTAATCATCGTATTTTAGGTGATTTTGTTTATCACCGTCCATTAAATAATACTAGAATTGTATTTACACAATGCAGCAAGATATATATATATATATTTTAATATTTTGTTTTATTTTTTGTCTGTTGATATAATATGGTTTATGTGGTTTTGAGAAAGATAATATTTTTACTTTTAAATAAAAATAAATTTGAAAAAACATATCGATATTAATATCAAATTAACTATTTAAAAGTTCTTGTTTTTTTATATAATTTATTTCATTTTTATTATAATATAATTTAGATCAAATAGTGAAATAATTTATTTTTGGCTTGACAATAAATTTTTTATAAAGATAATGATTCTATTAGAATTCGATAATTATTCTAATTATATTTTAGATTTTTTATATTTAAAATGAGTTGTTTATCATGTATTTGGTTATGTTTATCTGCAGTTAGTTACATAAATTCAAACATGAACCTTTAATAAGTTGTACTTATGTATAATTTACTTGTAATATTGAATTTTAAGTAATATGCATCAATATACAGTACTTCATGCATAAAAAATGGTTTTTAAGAGTTTTAGCCAAATGCTTTATAATATAGTATATATATATATGTATGTATTATATAGCTTTTTCCTATCTCACTAAATTTCTCACAAAATAATCAAGAAATTATAAGCAGTTGTTTAGCAGTTGCTGAATGATTTGGTACAGAATGATTAAGTGATCAGAATAAAATAATGTAAATTGAAAAATAATTGTTTACAATGAAGTTGAGGCACTAAATGGTTAAGAAAGACGCATGATACAAAATCATTCAGAAGGTTTTAGGGGTTGTTTGTTTACCTCTTAATAGTTACATTAAGAGGCAATCTCTGAATCGTTAAGAGGTGAATCTTGTTTGACAAAAAAAATTCTGTCTCTTAATGGTTCTAAAACCCTTTGAATGGTTTTGTATCTTGGGCCTCCCTTAACCATTAAGAGCCTTAATTTCATTGTAAATAATTACCAAACAATTATATTTCTTTTTGCACTATATCATGAGAGCCTCTTAATCATTCTGACCCCTTAATGATTCTGGACAAAATCATTTAACAACTGCCAAACAAGCCCTTAGAATCATTAAAAGACAGACTTTTTTTTTTTGCCAGACAAGATTCATTTCTTAATGATTCAGAGGTTGTCTCTTAATGGAATCATTAAGAGGTAAACAAACAACCTCTAAGTCAATGTTATAAGCCATTTTCGCTTGCAGTTTCACATCATGCGTTTTTGACTTGGTTTTTGTGCGTGGACACAAGGGACTACGATACTACAACTTACGGTTTCTAATGGTTTTTGCGGTGGGCTTATTTTTTCACTGGATGCCATAGATTTGTCACAAGAAACTCTTCTAGCGTTAACTTGCGGATTCTTGACTACTTTTTAGGAAAAAAAATTGTGAGGTGACTATAAAATAAATGTTTTTTTTTTTCTTTTTCTCAAATAGCTGGTAATTTAAGATGATAACCCATCAATCCATCTTTCACTCGGGTTTTATATTGAATATTTTTATTTGTTAAATTATAAATTTATAATTCGTTTCGTACCACTTAGTTTTTTTTGGAATATATGAAAAATGGACGCATCGATGTTACTGAAGTTGATTTTGGTTTTCTTAGAGAACATGTCACGATTCTAAGCCACATAAACTCATGGATGCATGCGGAAGTTGGATTTTTGTCAACATCCGTTAATGTACTATGCATAAAAAATACAACAGATTAATACGACAAATTTAATCAATCGGAGATTTATATGGTTGAAAACGCTTCCATTCAGATGTAATCTACTGAGTTTTTTACGTGAACTTTGTTATAACAGTTACTTAAGTGTATCAGTTAAGCAACACTAAAAGAAGGAAATCAATTAGAAAAAATAATCTTTTAGATTAGTGTTAATCCAAATAATATGAAGTTTAAGGAAAGATTTGATGTCATAGTTATCGTGTAGATCTTATTATCCATAGTTTATCGTGTAGAATTTATTATCCATCGGTTATCTGTTAACCATATCCTAGTATTAAATGTATACTGCCATTTTTAGAGTACATGCAATCGAATTGCCATAATAATACCGAATAAGAGATAATGATACGAATGAAATTGTCGAGTGAATGTTGGGACAAGCTTCGAGTTTTTGTCGTCTTCATTCGAGCTTAGAGATTTACTGCTACTTTTGTTTCTTTTCGTGAGTAAAAAGATTACAGTAACAGTTATTTTATTTAATACTATATGTTTTTCTAGTCAATCATTTCATTCCAAATTAAATGACTTTATTTCCATTTTAGTTTATTATTAAATAAATACTGATCTTTCAAAACAAGTGTCTGCTTTCTAGTTATATATTTTTTTATGAGAGAATTTCACCTATTTTTGAAATTTGGCATACGTATTAAGACAAACAAAAATAAACACGTGGGTATGAGACGTGACGTCGCGGCAAGGTCAAGCCCTAAACCATCACGAGATCACAACCTTTTTCAAAACGCGACTTATGGTGGCAAATACATATATGTATATATAGAGAGAGAAAGAGAGAGGGGTTCGGTTGTGAACTGGGGGACAAAGGAGGACGTGACAAGTGTCCTCCGTATCCACATTCAGTATGAATAACGAAGGTGAACGTTCATGAACTGTTCAGAATGAATGATACAATCCATCGGTCCACAACTGAAAATTGGTTTGCAATTGAATTTTTTTCCTCTCCATATATATTTGTTGGTTTAAGTTTAAAGATTTTTAATATAAAGTGAAATTTTATATCTCATTTCATATATTATCCATTTCAACCAATCTAATTTTAGGGGTATTTAAGATTGCTTATAAAAACAACTTATTGACTTAATCCAGTGTAACGCCAGTAACAAGCATTTTTGAGTGTTTGGATAAACAACTTATACCGGTACCAAACCGGTAATAAGAAGTTTTTTTAATAAGTTAAACCCTTTTGACTTATAATAAGTTGATAAATACTTTTGTAAAAAAAAACACAATTTATTTCAAATAAGCAAATCCCAAACACCCTCTTAATACAATCTAACAAAACCTCTAAAAAAATTAAGACGATCGTGCTGTTACAACAAGCGTTTAAAGGGAGTAAACTTTAGTTCTTATTAAGGTGTTAGGTTGATGTAGGCATATGATCAAAAGTAAAAAGGGGAAGAAATATTGAAATGAAAGTCAGAGATTTTGTAGTCAATTATGTAAAATTTGAATGGAACGTGGAAAACGAGAGAGGAGGAGGAAGAAGAAGAACGCGGTGCAATCACCCCACTGACCAAACCACAAAACTCAACCAATAAATACGCCCAGTCAACAAATCTGTATTCATTCAATCTCATCCTCATCCACATCCATTTTGCAGATTATTTAGGGAAACCCCATCAAGATTTCTGCTTTGTTTTTCCTAATCTTTAAATCCCTTCAATATCTGAGCCTATAAGATTCATTCTCCGGTGGTGGTGGTGGTGGTGGTGACTGGTGGTTGCAGAAATTTGTCCGAATTTCTTACACCACATAAAGAGTAAGGGGGACCTACGGGAATCAGCTACGCTTCTCTATCGACCGCTTACCATTCTTATCTTCACTCTCATCCTCTAATCCCATTCCTTTTGTTGTCTTATTCCCCATACATAAGACTCGATTCTCTTTCTTATCCACCCCATTCTCCCTCTCTTTTCTTCTCCGTGACCCTCCATTCACCGCTGTGTCCAATCGATCGTTCCTTAAACCTCAATCTTTACTCGATTGGACCGAGGGTTTTCCATCTTCTTCTTCTTCTTCTTTTCTCTTCTGTGGTTTCTGGGTTTTCGTTATATCTACGAAAAGGTTGAAGAATTCGAGTGTTTCTTTTTATCTTCTTCTAATGGCGTTGGTTGGAGCTTTGTTGAAGATCTTACAAGGACCTAATCTATGGAATGTGTTACCAGATCTTATGGTGTTTATGTTACCTCTTTGGATTGCGGTTCTTTTTGGGGTTTTGGTTGGGTGGGTATGGCGACCCAGATGGGCTAATTCCGCCATTAACAATCTAACAACCACTTATCTTCCTCCAAAGAGTTACTCTTCTATTGACATCGTTTCTTCAATCCCTACTTTCAATTCATTGAAATCTCAACTCCCCAGTTACTTTTTTCCCTTTTCTGATATGGGGACTCTGGAGGTTGCTTCATCCGGGCCATCTTCAATCTCATTTCCAGATTCCAGGTTAGACCCCACTTTACTTTATAGCTTTTCGTTGACTGTAAATTTGAACCAAAATCTTTGAACTGAGAATGTATAGATTGAATTGCCATGTGGGTAAGTTGTAAATTGTAATCTAATTTGATTTTTATGTGTTTAGTTTGTCAAAATTGGATAACGAAAGAAAGAATTTTGTGGGAGAAGATGATTTGAAGCATATATCCAAACTTGTGGAAGAGAAAGATGGAGGTCTTTCTTGGATTGGGATGATGGACAGATCAACCTCAAATATGAGCTATCAAGCATGGAGGAGAGATCCTGAGGTATCTTTCTTTATCTCTTTCCATTTTTAGCATTTCATGCTATTATCATGGCACTTTGAATCCACAACCATTGTGTAGATATATATAGATTGTTGAATCTTGAATTCTTGCTAGATATTTCTATTTATAGCAACTAAGTGTATTATGTTGTATGATTTTGAAGATTGGACCTCCACAATATCGTTCACGAACTGTCTATGAAGATACCACTCCTGAATTGATGAGGGATTTCTTTTGGGATGATGAATTTCGGTTGAAGTGGGATGATATGCTACTAGAAGCTGAAACATTGGAGGAATGCCCGAATAATGGAACTATGGTGGTTAAGTGGGTTCGTAAGGTATGAAAACAAGATTCATTTCGAATTCAGTATGTCTTTATTTTCGTTGGCTGCATTGGTTTATGGGCTTACGATTCCCCAATCGGTTGTGCAGTTCCCATTTTTTTGTAGCGACAGAGAATACATAATTGGCCGGAGAATCTGGGAGTCGGGGAAAACCTATTACTGTGTTACAAAGGTAAGAGAATGAAGATCCTTCGCTTTCTTCTTTTCCTTTTGTTGTTTCTGCAATGCCTTCGTTACAAATATTGTGAATGGAAACTACTGTTATGGATATCATAGAATTGACTACCTGCCTGCAATTTCCCCCTCTTCTGATGGCAATTCGTTCATTGAGGTTGTTAGTCATGCAATGGTGTTCAATGTTCATATGAATTAGGAATTGGTTTTCGGTCACTTCTTCATTAAAATACTCAAACTTTGATTATGTTTGTTACAGGGAATACAATACCCCTCTGTGCCACGACGCACTAAACCAAGACGTGTTGACTTGTACTATTCAAGTTGGTCCATTCGTGCAGGTAATAAATGCACTAAATGTCTTTTTAAGATATCGATTTCTCATTCAAGTGCGTTGTTCAAAACATTTGTTTTGCAAGCCAAGGGTCTGTCATCATGGAACCAACCTCTCTACCCCTTGGGGTAGAGGAAATATTTGAGTCTCTCTACCCCTTTGGACAGTGAAAAGGTATGCGTACATCTTACCCCAGATTCTACCTCTTTACCCCTTGGACAGAGGAAAGGTCTCTGGATACATCATGCCCCTAGACCCTACACCTCTACCTCTTGGACAGAGGAAAAGTCTGCATACATCTTGCCCCTAGACCTTGGATAGAGGAAAGGCCTGCCTACATCCTCCCCCTTTACCCTACCTCTTCGATAGATGAAATATCTATCAAAGGGCCTTTGGCCTAGCGGTATCGTAGCCCTTGGCCTTCTAGGAGGTCAGGGGTTCAAACCTCACCATAGATGAGGAAGGTGTGTGAGTTTATTTGTTGTATTTGCCGTATATAAATATTATATACTTCAAAGAAATATCTGCTTCCATCCTACCCCTTAGAGCCTACCTCTCTACCCCTTGGGTTGAGGAAAGGGATGCCTACATCCTACCCCCATTATGTGGTTAGGGAGGGGGAAAAGGTTGCCTTATAAGGGACTGGATACTTCGTCTATCAGACGTGTGTTAAAACTGTGAGTCCATGTGTATATAAAACGTACAATATCTGGTACGGTTGGCCAAGGATGTTACACATACCCTTCTTGTGTGTTTCCTAGTATTAGCTTGATTAAGAATATCTTTTCATGTAATTACCAGTTGAATCAAGGAAAGGGGATGGGGAAATGAGTGCATGTGAAGTATTGCTCTTCCATCATGAAGACATGGGGATTCCGTGGGAAATCGCAAAGCTTGGTGTCCGCCAAGGCATGTGGGGGGCCGTGAAGAAGATAGATCGCGGTTTGCGATGGTATCAGAAACACATGGCATCAGGAGCACCACTCTCTCATTGTGCTTACATGGCTCATATCAATTCAAAAGTTAGCTCCGAACGTCTTAGATACTTGCAGAACACAACAAACGATTCACAAGAAATCGAAACCTGTGAAGCAGCTTCTGATGACGAGAAGCCATCCGGGAAGAACATTCCGAAGCTTTTGGTGGTAGGGGGAGCCATTGCACTTGCTTGCACCATTGATAGGGGGTTGTTGACAAAAGCTGTTATATTTGGAGTTGCTAGAAGATTTGCAAAGATGGGAAGGAAATTGTGAAGGGATTTTTGCAGAGGTCAACTCCTCTTTCAGATTTCAGATATAATTGTATTTTGTTTTAGATCATTCATCTTTTCTCAGAGTCGTTGCAGCTTATAATCATGATGAGAAAGTATGATAGTTATGTATTTATTTGAAATTATCATTCTGATGCTGCTCAAATAACTGGAAAATTCATTTTTCTCGACTCAATTTGCTGTTCTTTTATGATAGTTGCTTGCTGATCCAACAACATCGGCTAGACTTTGACCATTTCTGCTTTTATATCTGTTGAAACCTTTCTTCTATCATCGATGGTTCTTTTGGAGAGTAATCTAATGGGGTTTCAGATATTCTCACGTCCCAAAAGTTCACATGAACCCACCAAGAACACCATATCCTTGGAAAACATGGGCATGGAACCAAAAACCCTTTGATGATGCCATGAACATGGTCTTGTCATGTGTTGATCATGCAGTCTTATCTTTTGTTGCTTGATGAAGCTGATTGGGCACCTCTTCTTGACTGCTTATAGATTCGAACAAAAGCCAAACATTTTTGTTGGAGGTTGCAGAAATGAGAATGTTTGGATGGATTTGTGGGTGAACCATGTTTGACAAGACTCCAAACAAGGTCTACCGCATGGTGTTAGGAGTTGCGACTATCATAGATAAGTTGAAAGAGGAGGGAGGAAGTAGCGGTGATTTGAGCATGTTCGTAGAGACGGAGGATGGCTCTGGTGACTGGTTGGAGCACATGTAAACCAAACCAAACGGACCTGGTAAATCCTACTTAAAAGTATAGGGGGATATACATAGACCTGAGCTCTATTCTTAAGAGTAGAACAGTTGTTTCCATAAAACCCCGGTTTCTGCAAGCGTGAGCAAACATGCAGCATAAATAAAGATTAATATATGGTGAATGAAGCACGAGAAAGTACGCATATGAACCAAGTATGGTGTTTCCATAAGACCCCAGTTTCTCCACGGCCACGGTAACCTCTTCTCCAGGTCCCAGATCACGGCTCGTGAAACACACCTTCTCCAAATCTAAACACAAAGTCCGAATACGCTCTCTATACTTCTCCAACAGTTTCCTAAGCACGTGAATTACCGCTTTTGTGAGTTAACCAAATTGCTATACCGTTCCTGTTTCATAATGAATTGCTAATTTTTAAGGCTATAAACAGTCATAAACCTTAGCAAAAGTTAAAGACTTCCCAGTAATCCATCCAAACCATGATCGATGAAGGTTCATGAACAAATAAAGAATCCCAGGTATAATCGAACAAAGCAAATTTTTATACACATAATCAATAATCAGTACAAATAATCCTTCTCTTTTACAAGGGTATATAAATTAATCAATCATCTTTCTGAAAATCCCAGAAAAATAAAACCAAAATTTCTTCAGATCTTCAAGGAAAACGATCTGGGTGTGATCATATAAGCTTAATGAAACACAAGAGATTCGAAGCAGTGAAGGCCGTCCAACTCCGGTGCCCACCGTGCAGAGTAACCCCCTTTGCTGCTCGGACGGCGGCCGGTGGTGTCATGTTTGACCTTCTTTTGGTCATCTTGAACGGTGGCGGCAGCCGGAGGAGATTTGGTGTTATTGTTAAAGAAACCCAAAGATTGGCACATGAATTCGGCAGAAACGGCATCGAAAGAACTGAAGATGGAATTCATGTTTGATGATTGTTATGATTTGATTTGATTCGATTTCTTGATGTGAAAAGAAGTTGTATTGAAGCTTATATATATATATCAGAAAGAAGACGCTGAATCGTTGCGGTTTCCTTTCCAAACGCGTTGAATTCTTGTATGTCGACGTTGAAGACTTCCAAGATAAACATCAAACATATACAAATACACTTTTTAAGATTTTTTTATTAACATGCATATCTAACTCGTTATTTGAGCCGACTAATCTTAAGACAAATACATGTTTTGTATATAACTCGGAATCATTGTATTTGAACCCTCTTGACTACAAGAGAATTTTTATTCTTTCTTGAATTTGAACCTGAGACCTCTTAATATATTTGACTTTTAAAACTAAACTCAAACTAATCAAATATTAAAGATGATAAATGATAACTTATTATTAAAACTAAGCCCAAATTAATCAGAGACGAAAGATGATGAATGATAACTTATTATGAGTGGTCGTCGACCATACGACGCAACGGGGACCAGAGGTGGGCGGCTTTCCCACGCTCCTTTCCTTTTTGATAACACGCAATTTAATCCACGTGTCAAATAATAATTTCAAGATTCACAATTTTTAATGTTTATGATCATCACTAGCCAATAAAAAATTAATTTTACCTAACAATCGTATGTAAGATGGATAGAAGGTGGATTAAAGTCTTTAATACGATTTTATATGAATTTCATGGTTTTAAGGGATTTTTTAAAGTTTTTTGATTGATTTCGATAGATTTTTTGGTCGATTTCGCTAGACTTTTTTGGTTTTTTAGTTTGATTTCAAGATAAATTTTTTCGGTTTTTTCTGATTGAAGTTGCTTATATTTTATAATATTTCAAAACACCACCCACAGTCTAGCGGGTAAACCTTTTCGTACACAAAACATAATTCTGCTTGCAAAAATTAGTTGAGAGGGTCTACGAGCGTCCACTGAGACATACATAGGTCCGCTCCCGATTTTTAAGGAAATGGTTCCTAAACTTCATTTATTATGTAAACCCCGCTAGAGGTTTACCCCTTTTTTTTTTTTTTGGATTTCGTCCTTTGCTAAAGATCCCCAAAATTTGAAGGTTGTTTCCTTCTAGTCAGGGTTGTTCTTGGTGGGAGGGCGGGCTGGACGCACACCTAAGGCCTACAAAAAATAAGGGCCCAACTTTTTTAGTATATAGTATATAGTAGTGGTTCAAAAAAAATTAGTAAATAAAAGACACAAGTTTTTTAATATCTATTTAAGATCAAAATAAAACCCATTTTTAAGGATACTAATGTAAGGGGACATTTTTTGACTCACTCAACCGCAGTTGAGGCTACCCAAGACTTATATTGAGACAAGGTCATCCAACTCCTTTGTCAACTGAGTTATATGTCAAGAGATTACTCATCAAAGTTGATTTTAAGTTTATTTTTTATATTGCTTTTTGTTTGAATATTTATTACATGTTTTTGGTGTTTTTAGGTGAAAGCGTTAAAAAACTGAACATATAATTAAAAAAAAATGTAAAATTGCGAAAAATGGAATAAAGACAGATTTGTCTTCTTAGGTTAACGTCCGAGATAGATGACCATGAGGGTGAGGGATTAAATCCAACAAAACGTGTAAACGACAAGTCTTATTTCATAATAAATGACAAGACTAAGCGCGGCAAAAGTGCATCTGTTGTCCTGCCAAAATAAATGAAGCAAAAATTAAAGAAATGAAACAATATAAGTTAATTACTAAATTATTCATATTAAATTAAAATTTTATTACTTTCCACGAATCTTTCACACCTCTGTCCCACTCTTATCTGTCCAATTTTATCCGCATACCCAACTTATGCACTAAATTTTTTTTGTACCATAATTCATTTATCTGAAATATATATGATTATTTGAATTTCAAGTTGAAATTGAATGTGGGACCCAAAGAGAAACATCAATTTAGGGAGTTACGATCGGAACATAACCACAAGGGTGGTGCCTGATTGGTTTAAGTTTTGACTCCAAATGTCAAAAGTACCAGGAGGTCTCATGTTCAAATCCAAAGAGGAATAAAAATCCCCATGTGGCCACAGAGGTTCAGATGCGATGACTCCGGACTATCTGCAAAACAGATGGTCGTCCTGGGATTAATCGGCTCGCATAGTGGGTTGGATATCTAGGTTAATAAAAAAAACAAAAACAAATTATATTTCTTCTAGTTGACGATAAAGAAGCACAAATGAATCAATCAAATACTCAAATTTTGAAATGAATGAAACATGTTAAATGAATTAGAATTAGAATCTATGTGAACTGAAATGGAATTGTGGTTTGAACAAGTGTTTGGATTTCAAGAAATGAAATGAACTCTGCTTAATGAATTAAATCTATCTGTTTGGTTTGTAAAATACAACTTCAGAACTGTAATGAATTAATGAGAAATGGCCAAAATACCCTTTATGACATTTTCATACATTCATGCCTAAGTTATAAAAAATTGTATAATGAGAAAACTAACAATAATACTAATTGATGGTGGCAACAATTTTTTTGAAGTAGGTTGTAATGGATTCTAATTCCATCACATATGCCATGGAATGATGAAATCTATGAATAGTGGAATCTATGGAATTCAATTCTATTCTATGTACAAACCAAACGGCTGAATGGAATTTGATCAGCAGTATTAGCCATTTCAACTTCTTCAGATTTCAATATCTTCAAAGAATTAACCAAACATGGCCTAAGGGAATCCATAGATTCCAATATTTTTCAAAGAACGAAACAATGCAGAAATGAAAATTGGTCACGAAATTGACCATTACAATTCCTTCTGATTCCATCGAACCAAACAACATCTTGGGTTGTTACCTATCCCATCCAAAACAGTGTCAGACCACACCGTTATCACCTAATTATTTGTTCTTTCCTTGTAGATTCCAGATTCCTTTCTAGTTCTTCGCACACACCACCAAGTATTCCTAACTTGCTATTTGCATTCAATGCTATACGTTGGAGTTCTCATCGACTTGACTTGTACCATCCCCCCTTCATATATACAAAACCGTCATTCTTTTTTCAAAAGCTCTTTTAAACAGTAATTTAACAGGGTTTCATATATTCTATCACTACGATATCAGATCCATGGTTGATTGTGAAGGGATGACCAAGATAACATGATAGAACATGTGAATAATTCCCTTGAAAACAAAGGTTTTTTGGAGGAATAGATGAAGGGGAATGTTGGGCATGTGAAGCTTGTCTCATGGTTTTGATAATTAGTGTGGAAAACAGATTGGACTTTTCATCATCTTCCTCTTTGTATTATCCCCCCCACCACCCATCTACTTTATTTTCAAATGTTTAATAAAGCATATTTGTACATATGTGCCGTTGCTAACCTTTATTCGAAAGCCATTTCCCTATCTCCATAACCATTTTTTATTTCCTATCTAACCGTTAAGTACCCGGGATGCCTTTCTTTATTCGTCATTTCTTTTTGCCAATGGCCTTCTAAGTCGTAATCAAATCCAACAAATGGGAAAAGGGTAATGTCTTTTGCACCTTCTGTTAGTCTTTCCTGTGGCTTACACGAACCACAATCTTCACTAAATTAGGCTCATTACGTTTTCTACAAGATCCTTTGGGATAAAAATGTTAGCTTGATGAAAAGAAATGGAAAATAAATGCTTTTGAATGCAGCCCAGATAGGCCCATCCCCCAAAAGACAGCCTGGAATGGAATTGAGAGTCAATTAATTAAGTGCACACAAATGACTGTCTGTATGAATAGAAAAGTAGATATAATAGCTTATTCGAACTCGGGATCAATGAGACCAACTTGTTTTTTGTGCGACCTGTAAAACCATAAAACAATAATACGAAAACAAGTTTATCTCACGTGAATCCAAGGTGATTATTAGGGTAGCTTTAACTTAGACTTGAGATAAGCCATTTGGGTGTGGTTATAAGACAACATTCTGTTCCTAGTCGACTTTTTCTACTAAAAAAAGGAGTAAAATATCCAAGAATCAAACACTTACCTCCTCCTGCTGCTGGCTGCTCTGCTACTGCTGTCACTCTCTACCTTCCAATCATCCACACATAACCAAACCCTCATCTCATCTTCTCCAAATCTTTCATCAAAATGGCGGATTCCCATTTCTCTGTGAACCTCGGCCTTTTCTTTACTGGTAATCTAATCTTGACCTCAAATGGCAGATTTCTCTTGTTTTTGTTGCTTAATTTTCTTTTTTTCTTTGCTACAGGGTTTTTGTTTCCGGTGTTGGTATCTTCAGTGGGGATAAACTATGGCCAGATCGCCAACAACCTTCCGTCGCCGGAACATGTAGTTCCGTTGGTCAAAGCCATCGGTGCTAACAGAGTTAAGCTCTATGACGCCGATCCCAAAGTCCTGAAGGCCTTCGCCAACACTGGCGTTGAGTTCATCGTCGGACTTGGGAACGAATACCTATCCAAAATGACAGATCCAGCTAATGCTCAAGCTTGGGTCAAATCTAATGTTCAAGCTTACTTGCCGGCCACGAAAATCACCTCCATTGCCGTCGGCAACGAGGTTTTGACGTTTAATGATACTTCTCTTTCCGGCTGCTTGCTTCCGGCGATGCAGAGTGTACACACTGCTCTTGTTAACCTCAAATTAGACAGTCAAGTTACTGTTACCACTGCACATTCTGTTGCTATACTCCAATCTTCATATCCGCCGTCCACCGGAGCTTTCCGGCAAGATCTAAAAGGATGCATATCTCCGATCTTAGATTTCCTTTCGAAAACCTGTTCTCCTTTTCTAATTAATGCCTATCCGTTCTTCGCATATAAGGCGGATCCGAAGCAAGTTTCGCTCGATTTCGTTCTGTTTCAGCCGAATGCCGGAATTGTAGATCCCGGCAACAATTTACATTACGACAACATGTTGTTTGCTCAGATCGATGCGGTGTACGCCGCTCTCGCGTCGCTAGGTTACAAGAAGTTGCCGGTGCAGATCTCGGAGACTGGTTGGCCGTCCAAGGGAGACGAAAACGAGGTGGGAGCGTCGCCGGAAAACGCGAAGAAGTACAATGGAAACCTCTTGAAACTGATTAATCAGAAGAAAGGAACTCCGGCGAGACCTAACTCCGATTTGAACATCTTCGTGTTCGCTATGTTCAACGAGAACATGAAGCCCGGACCGACATCGGAAAGGAATTACGGTCTATTTAAACCAGACGGAACTCCGGCATATGGGTTGGGATTCTCCGGAATCGCGGTTTCCAGCGGGAATTCGACAAGCTCAGGTAGTAGTAGCCCCAAAACGGATGGTCCTTCGATATACTTATCGCCGCCGGCGAACTCATCGAGTGGGTACCTGGCTATTTCATCGTCGACGGTGAGTTTTCGTTCACACTAATCTTTTTTCCGTTATAATTTGCTAAAGTGCGCATATTATGGTGAATAATCTCTGGACACGTAGAGAAACAGTAACGGCACGGTTCACGAGGAGCATCGTTCCATCTAACGGACGGTGCACTTTGACCTTTGTCCCTACCCCCTAAAACTACGTCGTTTCACCGACAATAACACAGGAAAATAGATCATAAAAAATAAAGTAACTTACCATTTTAGTCCCTATGGTTTGTTAATAATTTCGGTTTTTGTTCTTATGATTTAGAAATTTCAATTTTCATCCCTATAGTTTACAGTTTATTACTATTTTCGTCCCTGTACTTATAACTTATAAGGGAGAAACAGTAAAGATTGTAAACTATAGGGACCAAAAAGGTAAATAAATTGTAAATCATAAGAACGAAAATAACAATGAATTACAAACCATAGAAACAAAAACCCAGTTGAAATTTTATCTGATTGAAGTTGCGGTATAATTTCAGGAAAGATATGTTTGGAGCAAATGGGGAAGAATGGGGATGGGGTTGATCTCCATGGTCATGGCCTTCCATGTTTGAATATGTATGTATTGGAGTGGAAGAGACAACATGGCATATTTATATTCAAATGATGTGGTCTTCTTCCTTGCTTCCTTTATGTAGTTTGGAAATTCTTTAATTGGATCCTTTCTTTTAAATGAAACCCTATTAATTTATATTTATATTTATAATATATAATAAATGTTAATAAAAAAAATACTTGTTTTAACGTATGTTTGGTATTTAGATAGGATATGATAGAATAGAATACGACACAGTAGTTGGATTTCCACCTTTGAAAGCATATTAGAATGAGATGCACTGAAATGGGATTCATCGAGATGTACCAGATCAATCCTGGTATCAAGCACGATTCATGAATGAGTTTGAAATTAAAGATGATCAAGAATCAAAATCCCATCTTAACTCTCTTTTCTGACATCATTATTCTACTACCAACCCACTCTAAGGGGTTGTTTGTTTACCTCTTAATAGTTCCATTAAGAGGCAATCTCTGAATTGTTAAGAGGTGAATATTGTTTGGTAAAAAAAAATCTGCCTCTTAATGGTTCTAAAACCCTCTTAATGGTTTTGTGTCATGGATCTCCTTTAACCATTAAGACCCATAATTTTATTGTACATAATTACCAAACAATTATATTTTATTTTGCATTATATTTTTTTAATCATTCTGCACCAAATCATTTCGTCAAAGTTGCTAAATGTTTTAACAACTAAAAGAAACCACAAATGGGTATGCAAGTCCACTATCTATGTGGCAATCACTAGCAGATTCTTTGGGGCTTCTATGGCAGACCCATTTACTTAGTGGACCAACCATTCTGCATTCAAAATATCAGTTCCAATTTTTGGCCTTCTGAACATCTTCAAATAAATTGCCATAGATAAGGGTAGTTTACCAAAAACTTATCATGTATGCAATCAAAAATCTTATTTAATAAGAGGTATTAACAAAAACAAGATTCTTACCGGATAAGTGAGCGAGAAGATTCTTATCCAGATAGTAGTTACCGGTAAGAGACGTTTTACTCAATTCATTTTGAAGGTTGAGAATGTTACCCGACAAGGTAAGTGAGAATAATAACTCTTCCCGTGAAACATTTGGTAAAAACCTTTATAGAAAACAATTTAATCGAAGATGAAGAGACTAAATTACTTGACATGACCTAAACAGGGTAAACAGACTCTTGTCTTTAAGCTCAATAAGATGACACTTACTAAAAGTTAGGTATCAGCTATAAAGTTATTAAAAGACTGTTTACAGGTGTTTAGAGCTGTTGTTGTTTACCAAAACCCTCTTATCGGAGTAACGGCCCATAATATTGACTTGGTAAGCTAAGAGAAGGTCTCTGACTCGATCAGTGATTCTATTATATCATATCAATAGGATTGTAAGTTGCCACCTCCTCATAGTTAACCTGCAACATATATTATCCTACCTTGCACTCTAAAGGGATCCACAAGGGGTTCATGTGTAGCTTTTAACCATACTATTATTCCTCCCATATGAGCACTCAAATCCTTTGTTTGGTCAACTCTATACATATAGTGTTAGAAAATGAGGACAAGGGTTTTCGGTATATCTCATCTAAATATGGGTGATATTGTCATAAACGTTTGGATACTTTAAACTAACTGAATAGCTTTTAATTTAACTTAAAATCATGATGAAAATAATCGGTGGTCTACAACTTTGAACTTATAAGAAACTCACAAATCTAACTTTCTATCCATTTGGGACGGGTTGTTAAAGTAAATGTAGTACAAAATAGATTTGTGTTAATTATAGAGTGTGTCCATCTACGACAATGATAATGATTCCTATTTCCTAATATCAATCAAACATCATCAGTACAATGAATTCCGTTACTATTCCTCAACACTTTCAGTCCCATCCCTATTGCTTAATTTTATGTGAACACCCTGTCATATAGTATGAAAACCCTAAAGCCTAAACTCAAATATAACCAACTAATATCGAGTGCGAAATTGCTTAGAACTGTGCACATATAGATAATGGAACAAATACACACAAAGTGAACTCCAAATATACAGAAAATAAATAAACAAAGGTGTGTAATTGTTGTCCTAAACTGACAAATACAAAAAACCTAAGGGGCGTTTGGTTCGCAAAATGATTTATGATGAAATGAAATCTGTCAAAGGAATTTGAATGGAATGTTATCAGGTTTGACTAAGGGGTTGTTCGGTAATGGCTTAATGGACTGTTAAGCCTGTATGGCTTATTCGGTCAGCCATATATTGTTGTTTGCTTTTGGCTTATTCGGTCAGCCAATGGCTTAACTTGTCAGCCAAAAAAGTGAAGTCCTATCGATTATTCAACCATTTATTTCATATCCACCCTTTCCCACTTTTCCCCCAAAATGGAACCCTTCATCGTCCCAACTCCCCCCGCCTCCGACCACCACTGCCACAACCACCCGTACATCGCTCTCTCTCCCACGGCGGCCATTTGCATCTGGTCTCTTTCAAGCCTTCTAATGCGTTTTTACCATCTGCAACCATAACCGAACAATAAAACCGAGATAGACTTTGGTCTATCTATGTAAGTTTTTGCAACCTTCCACCTTCTTCTGAGATGTTTCCGACGAGGATTAATACACCGGAGGCGAGGTTAGAGGGTACTACAAAGAAAGTGAAAACAAAGGATGGTGGTGGATGGGACTCACTCGCCATTAGGGTGGAGGAAGTTTGGGGGGCGTCTAGCGGTAGTCGTGAAATCGAACGAGCACATCTCAAACCTGCAAATCGTGAAATCGTCCCCAACACACACCCCAAACCTGCTCGATTTTCCTTCTTGATTTACCTACTCGATTTGCCTTCATGAAATTGGCCGAGCACACCCCAAACCTACTCGTTTTGCCTTCTTGATGAAGGTTTCTCTCTAGTGAAAGGTAAAATAGTCATTTTTACAATTTAGATTGTTTATTCAGCATAACAACCGAACAACAACTTATCAAATATCATACAAACAGATTTATCATTATAGACATCTTTATCCATACAAGACTTAATGGAAAATGAATCGAACAACCTCTTATAAGTGTTTGGTTGACATGAATAAAATATAATCTGTCTAATGAATTGGAATCTGTCTACATACTTGTTAAAACACCTAAAATAGTTCTATAAACCTCTTGTAACACTTTTTATATCGATAAAACACTATGTACTTGGGTAGACTTAAATTCTACAAACTAATGGGGCGTTTGGTTCGCAGAATGATTTCTGAAGAAATGAAATCTGTCAAAGGAATTGGAATCTGGAAGGAATTTGAATGGAATATTATCAGGTTTGATCAAATGTTTGGTTGACAGTAATGAAATGTAATATGTTTAATGAATTGGAATCTGTCTGTTTGGTTTGCAACAAAATTAGAATGAAATGATGAAAAAAGACAAAAATACATTTTCTTTGATATTTTTTTAAAAAAAAAGTTTAATTTTTTTATTACAAATAACAATAAAACTAACATTTAATGAGAAAAAAATGTTTACCACTTATACAAACATAAAACGTGTAAATATCGATATTTTCAATAGATTCCGTTTTTTTTTTGTTGCATCAATTTTTTTATTACAGAACTGTTATATATATATATATATATATATATATATATATATATATATATGGGCACGCTCAAATGAAAACCGTGCATTTCTAAGAAACCGTGTAAACCAATTTCGACCAATGAGAAAATTCTTTTTTTTCTAATTAAATTTAATCAATAAGGGTATTTCGGTCATTTACAATATTTTCTATTAAATATGGAAGTTATTAATAAATCTTAATTAAGGAAACATAATAAAGGAAATTATATAAATGGTAACATTTAAATATTTAATTATATTAAAATATTAATAATTTGGATTTCATATATTGTCATGAGTTATAATCAGGAAACGTGTCTTGATGAAACAATTGAATTATAGAATGAAATCATCAAAACGTAGATGAACAAACAAAATCCACAAAATGAAATAGGTTTCATGAACGTGAAACCAGTTCATGTTGCAAAGAAATTAGGTGAACCGAAACATTTTTTATGATGAACCTGTTGCATTGATGGTGTAGTTAATCTTTTTTTTTTATGAGAAGCAAAATGAAACCGGTGCATTTTGAAAAAAAATATGAAAAGGAAAATGAAACGGGTTTCATGAACGTGAAACCGGTTTATGTTGCAAATAAATTAGGTGAACCAAAACATTTTTATGGTGAAACCGTTGCATTGGTGGTGTAGTTGATTCATTTTGTTGATGAAAAGGAAAATGAAACCGGTGCATTTTGAAAATAAATTATGAAAAAGAAAATGAAACATGTTTCATGAACGTGAAACCGGGTCTTGTTGCAAATAAATTATGTGAACCGAAACATTTTTATGATGAAACCAATTTCGTTCATATAATGTAATTCAAAATTTAAAACGATTCACTCCGTATAATTGAATATGGTGTGTTATATTCATTTTTTTATATGTTTTATTGATGGATGTGATTTAAAGTTAAAAATAATATATTGCTTTAAAAAATGAAAATAGTGTCATTAATATCTAGAAGAATGTTACCAAATGTTAAATTTTGTTTACCATATTTGCCCTTACTGTTGAAATAAAATAATTTTTTAATATATATATATATATATATATATATATATATTTAATTTCCTAAAATAAAGCAAACTAATCTTGACCATTGATCAAGAAAATGAATGGATGAGATTAGTTTACACGATTTACACAAATGGGACAAGTTTTTATTTGAACGTTCCTCTCTCTCTCTCTATATATATATACACACATATATATATATATATATACACATATATATATATATACATATATATATATATATATATATATATATAAACGATCAAATGAAAACTACTCCAATTTGTAAAAACCGTAAAAACTACTCTCATCCGTCGTTAATCAACCTCTGATAATTACAAAAAAATGAATAAAATGAAAAATTATGATTGGTGGAATGAGATTTTTACGGTTTTTACAAATTGAGTGATTTTCATTTGATCGCTCCCCTATATATATATATAAATGAAGATGCAGTCTCGTTTTTAAGGTTTCTTCTTTTCTTTCTAGCAAAACGATAGGCGTCTCTCGAATCAATAATCGATTTGGTAAA